ACTCATTGTCTGATTACCTAAGTAAATTATCATATTATAAAAAGATCCATCTTAGGATTTCATTTAAGTTATAGAGTACCAGTTACTTCTAATCTTAGGGTTTCATTTAAGATCAAGGTCAGTCTTTATGTGCGTTGACATATTATTAAAGAAATTGGTTCTTAGCAACGACCGATTATATGTTGTTGTTTTTATGTGTAAGTAATAGATAAGAGATGCACATTAACATGTTCTTAAAAAAATCTTTTTTTGATCACGACCAACTGTATGTTGTTACGCGTGTAAGTAATAGGTCAAGAAGAGTCAAGGTCAACATTTATGGTACGTTGACATGTTAAGTAATAGACCAAGAAGAGTCAAGGTTAACATTTATTGTACGTTGGCATGTTCTTAAAGAAATCGATTTTTAGTCACGGACAATTATGTTGTTTGTTTCGCGTGTAAATAATAGAAAAGTGTTGAAAATATTATTTTGTGGGGACGACGAGTTGCTCAGTTATTGAACAAATAACGTTGTGTACAAGAAAGTTTAAATAATATATATATTTTTTTTTGCATGATGAACATTTTATGGTTTGATAATTTTTCTACGAATTGTCACTCTTTTATTTATTAATACATTTTAATTTTTAATATTCTCCAAAGTAAATACAGCCTGTGCATCGCACGTGTTACATACCAGTAGTATGCTAATACACATAATTTTAATTGCTTTACATGATAAAATATATATGTTTTTTTTATATATTTTAGTCTAGTTTGATTTATGATTCTAGATTTTATTTATAAGATTATATATCATTGTTTTATATTTTGTATATATAATATGGATGTCAAATCAAATATCGTTAAAAGATAAATAATTTGGTATATCATATATAAAATTAAAATACAAACCAAAAAAGTTATAAAGTTTTAAAAAGAAGAAGAATAAACATTTATAATTACTGATATATGAATTAAATAAGAAAATAAAATTTAATATATGGTAATGTAGGAAAAGAAAACTTATAATAGTTTATGGTAAGTAATTGTAGAATAAAAGAAGGAAGGGATCAATAAGGATTTAATATGATATAGACATTATATGAAATCAAAATTTACTTATTTTGTATAAAAAATATTAATTTATATTCAAGTTTGACTTCAAAGCACAGTTTTTTGTCACATAAGATTTCAAAGCGTGAGAGCGTGCGATTTAGGCTCAACGCATTTTGCAATTATATATAGGTGAATTAGTTGATGGTCTCAAAAGTGTTCAGTAGAGGTCGACTAGTCCACAAAATAATCATTATTCGGTGGCTAAAGTTATTCCATGGGTTGCGTCGATTGAAACCAAAAATATCCCAAATTCAAATTTAACTAGTACAACGCCCGTGTATTGCACGGGTGCTTGTTAATTTTTTCTTAAAATCTAAAATTAATGAGAAAAGTAATTGAAAATTTAAATACATTTTATAAGAATATATCTATTATTATATACATTTAGTATGACACTTTTTTATTTGTGCGATTTACATGTGCTAAATTATAATAATTTTTTTAACTTACAACATATAACTACATTAAACATAAATATATCAATTGAGAAATAATTTTATTTTTCTAATGAATTTTAATAAATATTATTATTATTTAATATTACAAAGAGGGCGGAAAAGAATTCTTTCGTGGTTGCCGTCCCAAATGCTTTTTGTGTGTTAAATCTTCTAGCCAAGGGAGGGAAGATTACATTGAGAAAGCATCGGTTGAAGGTGGGCATGAATGGAGCTTCTGAAATTTACCCTAGCGGGGGTTTAAAGCCGGGGCTATCAATATGGATGTCAAATCGAAGACCATCAAAAGATGAGTAATTTGATATATTATATATGTAAAACCGATATGAAACACAAAAATTATCGACTTTTAAAATACATTTACAATTCAAGAGTTAATTGAAGGAAACAAATCAAAAGTCAGGGATATATTAGTCACTTAGTATCTAACTATATAAAATTACAAAGAAGTAAATGGTTATATTAGTACAAGCGATATTAAAGTACCTAAGTTAGCTAAATAATATTTATGGAATGTCCGAACCTAGATTATTAATTATTAATATATCAATATTAATTGTCCAAACCTAATTACGAAACATGATTATTCGCCAAGTAGGATTCCGAAGCACCAGAAGCAACCATGTAGTCTTGGCGTATTCGAGAATTATATATAAGGGAGGGGAGATGATCTCAAGTTCAATTTAAGTAATCCAATTATTTTTTTTTTATATATATAATAAAATAGAAAAATTAACAGCTAGCGTACACTTGGGAGCTCCTTAGAACCTCTTCGTTTGGGGGCCATTTTTGGAAGCTTCTGCTAAAATGCACGTGGATTTTCTATTTTAATAATACCATTTTTGTAAGTCTTTCCCTTTCCTAGTAAAGATGTTGCTTGCGAAGTGTAGTTTCCTTGGTGCATATTGTATGGTCATAATTTTGTATATTTGTTATCTCCATTAAAATATACATAAACGAGACAATTTTATTATTATTATTATTATTATTATTATTATTATTATTATTATTATTATTATTATTATTATTATTATTTTATGGTGTTGTTTTGTATGAAAGTGTTTGAGTTCAAATATAAGTAATATAAACGAGTCGAGCCAATAAGCGGGCTACACTAATGTGTATGTTAAGAGTTAAAAAAAAAAAAAAAGAATACTTGAAAATTCCTATTTATCAAGCCTAACAAGAATAATGCCTTCGCTCGTTAATTGAATGAATTGAGTCGATCGACTCAGCTTATTAACTCAACAAGTTCGAAATCGCGCGACATGTTTATCATACAAGCGAGTCGAATTCAAATACGGCTCATTTTATATACCAGATTTTCATTCATGCGACCCGAAGAGAAGTAATTTACTCCGTAGTATACCGGCTAAATTTTATTTTTGGTACACTATATTGATTTTTTTTTTAAAAAAAAAGTTTAGCATATAGTGTGTCATAAAAATGGTCCACTAAGCTGTGGTAAATAAAAATGATTAATTTTAATATCCTATATTGGCTATTGTGTGAATTTTAATTAAAGTGACAATTTCGTGGACAATAAATTGGAAATTAAGAGCTCCATTAGTTCAAAGTCCACTTCATTAGTGTACTGTTTTTGAATAATTCTAATTATGAGTGCCTTTGTCTGTCCCAAATCATGGAACAAAAGTTTTATTTTCTCTTGTTTCCTTAAACAAATTAAAAATAAAATACAACTTCTGGAATGTCAAAGTCTACATTTTACACAACGGCTAACTTTATTACAATATGGTATAATTTTTTTTTAACATTTTATAATATAGTGTATGACGTGGTCGATTACATAGCCTATCTAAATTTGAATAAAATAAAATAAAACACAATCATATATAAGCGGTATAACATACCTACCCAGCAAAAAAATAATAATAAAACAAGGATTCGACTTATGCATTTCTAATCGTTAATTAATTTGATTGGAATTTCAAGGTTATATGAGTGGATTTATCTATATATTATTTATTAATTTAATTTTAATGATAATAATCAACCCCATCACGTGTAAACGTGGCCAAAGCCACGGCCCGGCTCGACCCGATTTACGGCCGACATGGCCCGCTAGGTCGGCGGGTCTCAAATCCTAGGCCCGTAACTGGCCGTCTATATTTAAGGGGCGATTCATTGAACCGTCGGTACAAAAAAAAATAAAAAAAAAAATTATAATCGTGACCTATAAGACAATCTGAACTCGGATCAAGCCCGACCCACCTACAAGTAAAAAATGAGTACAACATGACCCGTAATCAGCCTTTAAGGGATTGTGGGCCGGTTCAGATTCCGGGTCGGCCCGGGTCGATTTCACGAGCCTGTCAGGACCGGTTCAGGGGTCGAGCGAACCCGTGGCCATGTCTACTCACGTGGCATTTGAATAAATGATAAGATTGTAGTAAGTGGGCGACTTTGCAAAGTAGATTAATTTGCAATATAAAATTTAGAATATTCGGTTCCCATTAATCATTGCTGGGATTATTATTTTTTATTATTATTATTATTTTGAATTATTAATGTTATGTAGTACAAAAAATGACGGTATGTGGGGGGACTTATCATCCGGTTCACGCCCCAATGCTTGTGTTTCTATAATTCCACAAAGTGAATATAAAACTATTAAGCAACAATGACATCTTTCAAAGTAATTAAAGATAGTGGAATCAATTATGCACACTACAACATCAATTTTTTTTTTTTTATTTTATTTTTTTTTATTTTTTTTATATATATATATATATATATATATATATATATATATATATATATATATCAATTATATTTTTGTAAAAAAAGAAAAAAATGTTCTCATATATGATGAAACCAAAATCAAATAGAATTATTCCAAGTTAAATTTAACCAATTACATTATTATTTCATATCTATGTAGAATATAAAATTAATTTATAAACTTAATTAAACCAAAATTTTTTCACTTACTCATCATATTTTTCGGTGGAACTGAAATTCTCAAGGAAGTCTTATAATCAGTAAAATGCATCCATAAACAGTATTTAAACTTATTTTCATTCGAATTTTTGTTTCACGTTGACTTTTTAACCTGTTCAGTCATAAAGTCAACATGTTCTGTTATCATTCACAAATTATGTATAAATAATTAATAAATAAAATAATATCTTCTTCAAGAAAAAAATAATAAAGATGGATAATTAGGCAAATAATATGTATATATAGTCAATAATTAATTCATTATTTATTATCAAGTTACAATTTTCCCCTAATCCCACCACAAACTACAAACTACCAAACCATATATATAAAACAATTAATACGTAATGCATGACACAATAACCACTAGAGAGTACTTTAAAAAAATTATGTCCCATAAATGAAAATATTAACCTGTAAAAAGAAATTTGTAATTTTTGCTAGGGTTTTTCCTTTCTAAATTAATCACAATAAAACATTAAATTAATCTCCATTGAGCTGTTGCTGCAAGAGCAACAAGTCATCAGGGTTCCACAGCCCGTCGGGCCCATCCCCACCGTCCGCCCACGGCCCGTTATGGTCGAGAAAATCCATCCCCGGGCTGAAAATGCCCGCCGGGCTCGTCAAGCTGGACTGATTAGGATTATAGTAAGAATCATAATTCAGATTAATCACGTTGCTGCCATGATAATAACCGTTGTTGACCGGATAATCGTTGTGGCAGTCGGTTAGGTCAGAGGCCGACGAGGGGGCCGCGCATGAGTTATCGGGTGTGTACGCGTAGGTGTGGGCCAGCCCGCTGCCGATCATGGGCTGCTGGGGCTGGATTAGTTGGGCCGGGCCCATGTCGGGGTAATTTGTACTGTAGGTTTGGTTCGGGTTGGCGGCTTGGATGCGCTCGACGAGTCGGGGCATCCAGAGGTAGCGCATCGCGTCCTTGAATTGCTTGCTGTTGACGTCGCATTTGAGCAGCTTAGCGTGCTTCTGCACGCGCGTGCGCCAGTAGTTCTTTATCTCGTTGTCTGTCCTGCCTGGCAAGTGTTGGGCTATTTTCGACCACCTATTTCCCCAACGAGAGTGGAGTTCGAGAATGAGGAGTTGTTCCTCGAGAGTGATATTCCCTCGGCGGACGTCCGGACGTAAGTAGTTCAGCCATCTCAACCGGCAGCTCTTGCCGGTTCGCTTTAGCCCTGTTTTATTCCATTTTGTTTTTTTTTTAAAAAAAAATTGATTAACTATTGAAAAAAAAAAAAAAAAAACTTTGGCAAACAAACAATTCCTCTTTAATTGGTACACTTTCACACGTACTTTATTTATACTCCTTTGAGGTCCTAGCTAGCCACATAATGCTACATACATCATGTGAGTAGTTAGTTGTATTCTTTTCTTGTACGGACAAATAACCACTAAACTAATATCAACATTTGTATAAGAGAAAAGGATACAAAATAAATAATAAAAAAACAAAAGAATCATAAACCATCATGCCATAGCATGTACATATGCACATAAGTGTCTTTAAATATAGTAGTATAAAAATAAATAAATAAATAAATAAAAAAAAAAGAGAGAAGGATTTACCGGCACAACGAGCAAGAGAATTCCAACGGCCTTCGCCATGGTGCGCGACATAGTTGATGAGCGTGAAGTCCTCATCGACCGTCCATGGCCCTCTTCGAAGCTCCATAGTTGCTTCCTCTTCACTTTGGTTGTCGTAATTGCTCGAAACTTTACCATCTTGATCCATCCTTTCTTTTTTTCCTTCCTCTTTAGTAATCTTATTGATTGGCACAAGAGAAGTTGATAATGAATTGCAAAACTCTCTCTCTCTCTCTCTCTCTCTCTTTCTAAGAAGAAATGTTATTTTTGTTTTGAAATAGTTGGATTAGTACAAGAGGATAAAGGGAATAGGGGTTTATATAGATGGGGGTAAGAGAGTTTTAAATGGTGAGGGAAAAAGGCAAGTATGCCGCAATAGGGACATAGGTGTCTTAAATTAATGTCTTAGTTGTTGATTAATTAATTGTTAAATTTAAGTAATCCCACACTTTGAGAGCTTGGGGTTGGGAGGGGGTGTGTGTGTGTTGAAAGTAATAAAATATGTATAATTGGTTAGCGCGAGCGAGGGCTTTAGAATTTTGACTCTCTGACTTTGCTAGTTTCTCTGGGTGGAAAATGGCGGTAGCATTTTTATTAATAAAAAAAATGAGTTGTGTATAGTTTTAACTTTTTTTTTTTTTTTTTTTTTTTT